CTCCGACATAAAGAAAAGGCGGGCCACACCTCGACAAGAGGCTACTGGTTAGCCATTGGTTGAGGATTTATGACGTCATTGTAATGTACCTCTTTATAAGAAAAATTCAACAAACGACTCGCCAGTAGTGACTACTCGCCAGTAGATTTAACTCATCACTTCTCAAAGTATTCTGGATACGGTTTATGTGTTGTATGCGAGACTTCTCTCCAATTTGCTTCGTGTCAACTTTGTATCTTTGACTTCTGATTTTTTTTCCAGTGCTAGATCTAGTTATAAGGTACATTATCCTCGTGTTTTTATTCTGCTTGGATAAATTATTTAGTATTTTTCCTCACTTTTGATCGGCGTTTTCACGCTGACCACGTGTCGTTGGCCAGTGTTCAGTTTCAACGTCATAATACTATTTAATTATCGCTGTGACGTGAGCCCATTATTAGATCTATATTCTCGTGTTGTGGAACAGTTTTTCAACATGGAGAAATTTATGATCCCCAAGAGTCTCCGATGCGACAAGGAAGTGATTATCGTTGGAGACGTTTATTACCAAGTATGGTCTTATACTTATGACGAGGGTAAGTTCTAAGGCTTTCCAAGTTCTAAACTTTCACTGGACTGTATTCACGATATTGCTAACACTCCTTTTTTGCAACGAATTATTAGCCCATGATCGTATTTTAGAAGCTAGATCTAGATACAGAGCAGTACAGTTGGATATGCAAATTGCATAGAAATAGTTAAATTCTTCCCATCTATTTTCAGTCTCCTAAGTTTCCCAATTTATAACCACACAATATGATAACTATTGATATGACATTACGTGTATTTAGTGCCGGTAATAAGTACAGGTGTATTAGCCTACCTATTTTGGTCCCCGTGAAACGTTTGGTTTCGGGTTACGAGCTGGACTAACGCTCAGAAATTCAAGATTCAGAGCTCAAAGTAAAACCGATTTTTCAGAGGATGATTCTCATGAGCCCACTATTCGGAGCTTATAGTGAGAAAGAAACTCCTCTCCCCCTGTAACTGCCGTGAGTCCCAAAGCTTCAAGTTTTAAAAAAGTACACGTGGTGAACGCCGGTTTTTTTCCGGTTTTCTTTGTTGATGTTCGAAGTCCACGTGGTGATGCGTTGCAGTTCGAAGCTCACCAATAATAGTTTTCATAGAAACAAGGCCTTCAGAATAGTAATCTAGAATAGTTGTTCTTTAAACAATAAACCCCAAATTGTTCCATATATTTAAACAAATTTTTATAACAGATTTGCAATGATATTATTAATTACGACTGCTTTTATTTGTAAAGGGTTGAAATGTAAACTGACATGGGCTGTGTTGGTTGAAATGTAAACTGACATGGGCTGTGTTACCCGTCGTAGCGTCTGCTGTACTTAAACATGAGGATGGACCACGTGATTCTGTCCCCGTAGGATTATGCGAACACGCGTTTTTTCGCGTAATTCTGCAACATTTGCATAATTTTGGATTCCCCGCGGTTTTTTCCCTTTTTTTCACAAAACAATTAACGCTTCGCGATGTGACTAAAGGGAAGTAATCACCGTAATAAGTCTCATTTAAATGACAAGTTGATTATTTCCCTTGTTAGAAGATATTAGTTATGGGCTGGGATTTTGTTCCTCGAGCATGTTCAATTTTTCAATCCATCAAAAGTTGTTGTTCTCATGTCTTCTGATGTTTCATGTTTGACGGGTGTCCCTGGTTTTAGTAATGTGCAGGATCAGAGGTCCAGATGCCCCCCTTTTTTTTTTTTCATTTTTCTTTCCCCTATAGAGATCTATCTACAGCTGAAAGTTACAGAGATTATATTTTTTGGTTGGTTTTTTTTCTGACTGATGTATATTGTTTTCTTTCCAAATACACAACAAATTACTGATACTGATTAGTTCTGTTTTCAATATTTCTGTACATAAGGCATGAAAATCATGAAAATTCTTGCTGAAAAAGTGCAAAACATGTCGTGAATGGTGTTACGGTAACTTGCATAATTTTTGCATGATATTTTGCTTTTTTTTGGACATAATTAGGCCATCTAAATTTGCATAATTCTATGGGGACGGGTGGTTAGCTAGCACGTTGGCGCAGTGAACGCCTTTGTTGGCCTGGTGTACTGGTGTAGAACAGTGGCAAGAAAATGAATTGAAAGGTAGAGAATAAGGTCTTAACAGAGACAGCTCGGAACTTCCGAGATTGAGTGCTGTTGACAGAAGTAACAAATCGTCTTGGGTGTTTTTACGAGTAATAAATTGATCTGAATTAAGTTAGATCTAGATCTATCAGGGTTTGTTTTTTTCGTTTTTCTTCTGAATGGCCTTACTATATTTAGAACTTTGTAAGTACAAACGAAAAGAATGAGAAAACATTTAACAACGGATATTTCTAGAAAAGGATAGACTTTAACTGAAAGAAGAGAAGGGGGTTTTATTCTGAGGCTGTTAAGAATTTCTTGAAATCAAAATAATACTGCTGAAAGAAGCCCTTGCGAGACGGTCACTCGAGATCACATGATAGAAACAATAATATTATAAAAAGACGTACACTGGTCTTACTACGTTTGGGTCGACAAGTAGGCATTGGGCATACATAATACACACCCCCTGTATAGTTTAAAATACATTTTTGCGTGTTTTCCAAAACCTGGTTTGAGCGAAGGGCGATAGATCTATTTAAAATTACTGTTTCGAACGGCACTATAGGTATACCGACATTCGAGTGTTAGGGCCTATTCAATGGCTCCTCAATAGACCCAGTGAGAAGAAGCGATGCGGAACCATAACCTGTAACAGATATCTGACCACCTATCAACTCACAGGGCGATTGATATTGGCCTCTGAGGGCCTCTTCACTGTTCATTTTTTCCTTTCACGTATCGCTGCGAGTGTTGGTGCACGGTCAGCTCTTTTTTTCTCTCTCTCTCTCTCTCTCTCTCTCTCTCTCTCTCTCTCTCTCTCTCTCTCTCTCTCTCTCTCTCTCTCTCTCTCTCTCTCCTTCACTCACACACACACACTTTTAACGATTTATGTCTCTGATTTAATCATCTCTCTCCCCCCCCCCCCTCTCTCTCTCTCTCCTTTTCATCATGTCTGTCTGTCTCTCCATCTCTCTCTTGATTAATTATCTCTGTTCTGCTTTCTGTTTCGCTCTTTAGTACATTATATCTGTGTACATGTATCTCTATAATGTATATGTAGGCCTATATAGTATAGATCTATACCCCTATCTTTTCTCTCCCCCCCCCTCTCTCTCTAATCTTGCCTGTCTCTCTTCTTATCATGTCTCTCTCTCTCTCTCTCTCTCTCTCTCTCTCTCTCTCTCTCTCTCTCTCTCTCTCTCTCTCTCTCTCTCTCTCTCTCAATTTCTCTCTCTCTCTCTCTCTCTCTCAATTTCTCTCTCTCTCTCTCTCTCTCTCTCTCTCTCTCTCTCTCTCTCTCTCTCTCTCTCTCTCTCTCTCTCTCTCTCTTCTTCATAATCTCTGTCTCTCTCTCTTGATTAATTGTCTCTTCTTCATCATCTCTGTCTCTCTCTCTTGATTAATTGTCTCTGTTCTGCTTTCTATATATTATAGATCTATACCCCTCTCTTTTCTCTCTCCCTCTCTCTCTCTCTCTCTCTCTCTCATCATGTCTGTCTCTCTTCATATCATGTCTGTCTTTCTCTCTCTGTCTGTCTGTCTGTCTCTGTCTCTCTCTCTCTCTCTTACCTCCTTTGCCCCCTCTTCTGGGCTCCTAACTCTTTCTGCAGCCTCTGTATACCTGACTCCTTAGCTCCTAATTCTTACTGCTATCTTTCAGTCAAACCCCCTGATCTTCTGGTAGGAAAGATCTAAGCCTAGCCTTCTCGGACAAAGGCGAAAAATCTCGGAGTTGCGCACGTTAAAGTTGCCTTGGTGGTCTAACATCGATAAGAGTAGGCTTAGGCCGCTACCGGGGCAAAATTCAAAATTTTCTACCAACTGAAAAGTTTTAACTGTCCGGCGCGCTCACATATGACTTTATGCATTTACGAGCGCCGTAAAACACTTACCAAAAACAAAACATGCAACAACAAAAACAAAAAAAACAGGAAAGTTCGGAAACTATAATACGAGTCTACGTCTCCACCCATTGTAATCAATTTTGAAGCCCATTTCATTTTCTCCTCAGCTGTAGATCAAGTTGGATATTCAATATAATTTATTATTATTATTATTATTATTATTATTATTATTATTGAAGTTCCTTGCCAATTTCTGAGAACGTATAATTTAAACTATTAATCAATTTTTATGTGAAAAAAATACAGATTACATGTTGAGACTTTCAAGTTGTGTATGTTGTCGGCGTTAGGCCCCTCGCTATATCTATATGTCTATATATCTCTATAGTTGTTTTTTTTCTAAAAAAAACAAACAAATCAAAAACAAAAACAGTGTAACAAATACAAGTAAACCCGTATTGAAGACAATAATGTCATTTTTCATAATTGTTTCTTGAGCCTGTGCGTGATTTCAGGAGCTCAAGAAGCAATTTGTGCAATTAAAGTGACTGAGATTTCGCCAGTAAATTAAATTTATTTATTATGTAGGCCTATTACACGGGAATAAGAAAATAAAATTCACACCAAAACAACGATGAATTATATTCTATATTATTAGATGAGATGAAAAACAAAAGCATGATTTCGTCTACGAAGCTATTTTTATTATTGCTTTATTTGCTGCAATATGGTCAACGAATAGTCTGCATGGTCTGCGGAGCCACGCCTTCTCTGTAATCAGATTTATTGCAAATTTAAAAAAAAAAAACCCAACAAATCCACGCACCCTGCTAATGAAATCGCTTGGACTCTCCTTAAAAAGTGGGTCAACCTTGGTCACGTGATGTAAACAAGGGAAGTGGGTAATCAATGTTTTCTGTGTATTGATAAAACATATTTTTCCTTTCAAAATTAAACACGCAATACATTGACGGCTGTCTGTGAGGCTGTACTGGTACTCAGTCTAAGTTCGTTCATACTACGCGCTTTGATGTTTGAGCTTCCATGAAGTTTAGTACCCCAATATTATGGCCAAAGTTAGACTTGACCTCAAGATCCCATCATACAGTGCGTGGCGCATGCGCAGACGAAGGGTTGATTGTAGTGTAGTGAACTGGTTCAAAACAGAAGTGTGTTTTTAGCAAATTTGTGTATTTTTTCAATCAGCCGGTCGTTGACAGTTGCTGTAATTTTTATGGAACTTAAACATTGTTTTAACTTCATTTTTAACAGAAGGATTTTTATCTCCATTGCATATATTACAAGGGTCATTGGTGATAAGCTTCACCAGCTTGCAGTTCCAAAATCATCGCGACAGAGTTTTGAGAGCAGTTGTGAGGCTCACACACGGTGGCTGCTTGTGGTTGTGGCAGTGTAAACAAGCGCTATGAATCCCTCATACCACCTGGGGGGTGGGAGGAGGGTCTAGCCAGTTGTTAAAAACTACTGCTTTGTGTTTTAACCAAAGTGTGACCGCCTGATTCAGTGCCATTGTTATCAGTTGAAACCTGTTTTGTAGCATCATGACGTTGTTTTGATTGGTGTGTTCACTGAATTGACTGTTCTCTGTCAATTTGATTGTAAATCCCAGCAAGGGCAAAATGCAACAGCAACAACAAAATAATTCTAACAGTTCCTTTCGAAATGGCCCCCCAGGCCAAGTTCAAGTCCCTCCATCCCAAGAAGGTGTGTTTTCCGTTTCAATGGGTTTTTGGCTTTTATGAATGAGTTTTATTTTTTATTTTTTTTTGGTAGCGTCAATTGCCACCGAGTGATGCGGTGGCAGCAATTGACAAAAATTGACTTTTTGTCAGTTGCCACCGAGTGAAGCGGTGTCAAGTCTCAAACAACACTATCTTTAGCAATACATAATGTGTGTGTAATGGGTCAATTTGTTCTCAACTAATTTCATTGGACGAGCATCTAAAGTACCAACTTGGCGTGTTTTCAATTGGCCACCTCTATTTTTTGGCTATTCTCACCCGGTGCGCGTGTCAACAAATTTTGCGTTCACCCTAAACCACAGAATTCTACACTGTGATAAGAGAAAAATTGTAGAATTCTGTGCTGTGAACAAACGTTCCATTACAACTGTACTTGTAGCCTACTAAAAGCGTACAATTTTGTCTGTGGGCAGGGGAGAGAGAGAGAGTGAGAGAGAGAACAAAACAAAATGGCGACCCGCGTAGTTCGGCTCGATTCGAAAAGTTAAATAGCCGTAGCATCGTTGTAGACAACCAAATTAATTTACTTTTGTGTTTTAACATCATTTTTTAACTTTGTTTTGGTCAATTTGATCGTCCACACCGATAGACAGTATTCAGAAAGAGAGAGAGAGAGAAGAGGGGAGGAGTAGATCTTGCGAGAACTTCCGGGCGGGTGAGAATAGCCACTTTCTTTCAATTAGACGTAGGCCTAGATGTAGGCTAGCCTTAGCATACACTTTGGTGTAGAACCAACACAGTAGGCAATTCTAGAAGTAGAAGGTCACAAACGCATACAAAAACTTCAAGCAGAAATTCACGTTATATATCGGGGAACATAAATCGGGGGACGGGGGTCAGGAAAAGAGACACACACACACACACACACACACAGGGACAGAGAGGTGAATGCACAACACCGAGCACTCGAGCACAATAAGCTAGATCTACCCACCAACCCAAAGCCAAAAGAGCTCCAATTTACTCGGTGGCAATTGACAAAAAGTCAATTTTTGTCAATTGCCACCGCGTCACTCGGTGGCAATTGACACTACCTTTTTTTTCTTCGGTAGATCTATTCTAGATCTAGATATATATAGATCTAGATATCTAGTCTATTCTAGATCTACTATAGACTATATAATATATTCTTTCTTGGTTGACTTGAATGCCTTGATCATGATGGCAGTATCCTTGATATTTTCTCTGTTGTGATGGCTGACTTAAATAATGGTGGTTTGTTGGGGCATTTTCTCAGATTTTAATGAACAGATCTACCGGTCCGAGATTCTCCATTGAGTAAAAACTGGGGAAAATCGTGAATTCCTAAGGCAAAGTCAGTCCGCTGGTCCGGTATTCTTCAATCTTACCCATAAATCCTCTAAAACTGTCGCAAATCAATTATTTTCAAGAAAATTTCAAATGCAAGTGTAAAATATCAAATTATGGGTTAAAGTGCCCCCCCGCCCCTGTAACTGTAACACCCCCCCCCCCCCCCCCCCCCCCGATTTTCTTTTGTCCGGCTCTATTTCTCAGAACGTTCGGGAAAATAAACTTGAACTTTATTTCTCAGAACGGTTTCCGTTCTCGAGATTTGTTGATAATAAGCGAATGGAGTGGCCCGTGTGTGTAAGGTGTGGACAGGATTTTTTTTTTACGTAAAGAATTTTAGTTTTTGCTGGGTAACTAAATGCAAAATAGGTTACTGCCAAGGTCGAGCAGTCTTGTTTTCTTGCTGTACCTTTTGAAGTTATTTTCAAATGAAGTATAGTCCGGGAACATTTCCCCAACCACAACTGAAGTATCTGAATATTCAGACATTTAAAAATCTCTGGCTCTAAAAATTTAATTCGATTAGAAAAATGCCTCCTCCCAGTCCTCGCAGAATGAACTAGCGAAAGGATGACGCCTGAATCTCGCAAATAACCATATCTCGAGATCAGTTCAGAAACCATTTGGAGAAATAGAGTTCAACTTTATTTTCACGAGCGTTCGGAGAAATAGTCACTTCGTTTTCTTTTACTCCAGTGGGGCAGGCCCCCCCTGGAACCCCACGATTGGTCCAGAGCACGTCTATATTAAGAACAACCAGATATTTCAAAAACTATTCATTTGCAACGGAAATGAAGTTGGTATTCGTGTTCAGCGCATCAATATTTATTAGATAATACAACTGGTAGTTAAGTGTGAGACGGGAGGGAAAGTAAAAAAATACCAAACCCAGACTGTTTGGAGGTGATCTTGTTGGTTCAAGCACACACAGATCTTGGCGTAGTGTGTTTAGTAAAGTTTGGAGGGGGGGGGGGATTTCTGTTTACATGGGGTCATGAGGATCCGGATGAGAGCCGGTACAGTGGAACTCGGATTTAACGAGCTCGGATTCAACGAGAACTCGGATTTAACGAGTTTAAAATCAATAAAAAATAACCCGGATTCAACGAGCACTTAAATCAGCGAGCTCGGATTCAACGAGGTCGCTTCCAGGGTGAACAGCCCCGGCAGACGTGGCTTCGCTCATTTTTCTCCCAGAACGAACTTTATCTATTCCCTTATTGGCATAGCTGATTGCATGTGACCAATCAGCGGCCTTTTTTCATACCAACACATGTGTTTTTGGCTCACGCACGAGTCTACTCTGGCGTGAGTCGGGGTCGGATGGGCAGCCTGCACACGTGTGACTGTGTATGTGTCGGGGAGGGAGGGGGGCGCACTAGCGGTCCGAGCGTTGAACGTCACAGTCACAGATACAAACGCGTCAGTCTTTTTTCCCCCTCGGCAACTGATCATTATATTACAATGATAAACTAGATCTAGACCTGACGTAGATCAACGTAATGAATTGTGCGCTGGTCTATGAAATCAAAAGTTGCCGTGCTAGGCTCTACACAGCAACACAACTTTTTGGTAAACAATCGAGATGACAAAGACGTGTGCATTTGAACGAATCAGGTCTTTTTTTTTTTTTTACACAGCTCATAATATGCGGGGATTTCAGGCACTACCTGTGACTTCTCTTTATACATTACTTGCTCAGTGCCTGTAATTATCTACACAAAAACCTTGTGTTTGCTATAATCAACACTCGGATTCAACGAGATTTTTGGTCAGGCCCGGCAACCTCATTGAATCCGAGTTTCACTGTATATGTTTCCTCTTTCATCGTATAAACTGTATTTCATTGTCTGAATCGTAAGGTAAATTTGTACTTTTAGACCCGCACGCAAATGTACTGTCTTTGGGGCTAAACTGCCATAAATTTTTGCCGCAGAACACACATGGCATGGCCACTAAAACCTTTGCAAATCAATTGTTTAAATAAAAAAGCAACAACACCAAACCCAAGTGCCAAAACATCAAATTATGGTGAACATGCCCCCCCCGAAACACGTGAAGCTATGAGTCAAGAGAGCACCAACACAGATCTGTGATTGGCCTAAATATAGAGATGACGTATTTCCGACATCTATTTTTGTCATCTTCTGGGGCTTCCCTCGCGAGTTGACTAGATATATCACCCTTTAAATATTGTTTTAAGCAATCGAAACTTTAATGGAAACTTTTGTCTTTTCTTTTTGTTCAGTCATTAATCTGCAACCTTATATCATTGTCGTTTCATCTTCAATGGGTCATAACATCACACTGAACCCATGTGGCTTTGGGGTTTTTTTTTGGTCTCACCTCTTGATATTCAGTGTATACAGGCCCGGTAACCGGGAACAAAGTCCTGAAGTATACAGGCCCGGTAGGGGAAATCTTTTGTGATTTCTGAAAGTTTCAGCGCCTTCTTGGCTCAGGGTTGATGTAGGTGCTTCTAGATCTATGGTCTAGATCTAGACAGACAGACATAAATCATAGATCAAGTTTCGAGGCCTAGATCCAAATGAAGATTGCGGATCTTTTCGATGAACGATCGTTTTTCCTCCGATTTGGAGTAGGAGGAATCAAAAAAGACAATTTGAAAAAAACAACAATGTCATAGTTTTAACACTTTCCCTACCACGACCCGCATTTTGTGGACCGAGAGCCGCAAAATATGGCTTTCAGAGTGGCTCGCTATCTGTTCCAATCCAATAATGAAAAGATACGAAATTCTCGGCCAATCCACGTTTTCAAAATAATGGAATAGACTTCCTGTTAGCAGATACGAAAGAAAATATATCACTGGGAGAAGACTTTTAGTCAAGCGCCTTTTTTGTCTCCTTCGAAACGTAAATGAAAAGCACTCCCCTGACTTCAGTATGTCTCTTATTTTCACTTCAATATTAGGTACACATATTTCAGCATTTTTTCGCAATACTTGAGGCAAAGTACCTGGGAAGTTTGAATGATGCTGTTGTACTTTTTTTTAGATATATATATGACCTTTCAAAGCGGAAAATTTGTTGATTTCATATGACACCTTTGATATTGCATTTAATCACTTTTAGAAACCCCAAAGTAATATATAGGGAATACGTCTTCAATATTGTATCGCTATCTGATCGATTATTTTGTAACCTTCAGTTTGATGGGCCATAAGATATGGTTTGTGTGTGTTTAGTTGGATGTTTTGACATTTCCCTTTGGTGGAGTAGGGACATAAAAATAGGTCAGGGAAAAGCCCTGGGACGGTTGTGGATTTTGGCCTGGTAGGAAGAGAGTTAATTGAGCAGTCACCCTCTTATTTCTCTCCCCCCTCCATCTCTCTCCCCTCTCTCTCTCTCTCTCTCTCTCTCTCTCTCTCTCTCTCTCTCTCTCTCTCTCTCTCTCTCTCTCTCTCTTAAAAAAACCCAAACAGTTCTGTGCCCTATTTGAATTGATTGCTTTTTGGGGTTGGGGTCATTATTGACAAATTTTAGAGAAAAATAAAACATGAAATGCTCACTAAAGGCTTAAGATTCAAGGGCTGTTGCCATTTACATTGTTTGGTGCATTGACAACTTCTGTTTCCCTTTCTGCTGCACATATTTTTAACGGTATCTATTATTGCTTCTAGTTTCAGCAGTGTCTGGAGATGCTATGGGCACAAATGGAGACCAGTACTTCAACGCAACTTTTAATGCCATGGGCATTCAAGACTTCCCTCCCTTCGTAAGTGTTCATATTTTTAAAAAATCTGGTTAGGTAACTTATTTTGTGTAAAGTCCCTTGGCCTTGGGGGACAGTCGATGGCACTCTCTTTGTTTCTCCTGGAGTGAGTGGAGTTTGTCCTGCCTTTTTTTTCAGAGGGGAAGATAATATATGAGCCTCCCTAAGTGCTTAGTTTTGGGAGATTAATTCCGATAATTCCGAGCTTTTGAAATGATTCATTCAAAGTTATTCATTGTGAGTTCAGAATCAGCTCCTTGAAAAATAGAAATGAGCATACAACTGGCCCCGCGGAAAATTGCATTTTTGAAATAGAAAAATTGCAAAAAATTGCAAGGTAAACTGCCTAAAAATTGCAAAAAATTGCGACCTTCCCATCTCAGGCGCATTAATACGGGCTTAATATTTTTAGTTTAAAAAACATGACAATTTGAGTACTGGTAGCATAAATGTAGAACAGCCTTTTAAACAATCATGACCCACAGTACAAATTTTATTAACAACTTTACTAGTAACAACACACGAGTACGTTAACAATAAAGTTATCGACCAAATATGATATAATACCATGTGACCCAAATTAAAGGAACCCTCAGTTTTCGTAATAACTTTTAAATGAATGCATAAAATTGAACCAAATTTAGTAACCGGGTACTTGGTTCATGCAAAGATCTAGAAGTGTAGTATGAGGTTTAGTTTATTAAAAAGAAAAAAAAAATGATGGGAGATTCGAACAAGCAAAATTAGCTTATGCCCCTATCAATTCAGATCCTATTCTATTTTTCTCTTGATACTTTCGATACACCGATAATTTATATTTTAATATATTTCAGATATTTTCTTTTTTAAAACCAGTATGGTATTGTTTTAACTTTACGTCAAATCGTAAAATACAACAATTTTTTTTTCTCCATTTAATAGTTTAGTAATAATAATGTAGATCATTTCTATTGCGACCACTCCCGTGTGAACGCAGCTTAAGGCGTTTTACATTTATTGAGTGTCTACATACACGGTGACCGGGCACCTAGTCTCAGTATCGTCACGTAACCGGGCAGTTCAGAACTCACAAGTTCAGTTTTTGTCATCCGGTGTTGCCTTCAACCCCAGCCATCTCCCGACTGTACCTTTTTAAAAAATAAATAATCGCCCCATTCTGGAGCCCTATACTTCGCAGCGCACAGACTTTGAATGAACTTTGGTGACTCCAACCAGTACTCACTATGTGATGCGAAAGCTCAGGTTCACTGACCGGTCACGATGGCGAGCTCGACGAGACGTTTGTACATGTATGACTTTCTTTTTTTTTTTTCAACAAGTGACAGCACAGGACAAATATTGATTTATTTTAATTCCAGTTACCGTGTACGTAGATACTGAGACTAGGTCCCCGGCTACCGTGAACGTAGACACGTGCATCATGTACGAACAATATTCACGCGCGTGCGCGCGCACTCACACACACGCGCACACATACACCTTACATGTGCACACACATGCACACCACACACACAGCTATTTCTTATCACACGCGCACGCTTAATCTTACTCACATTAGATCTCTATCATGTCTCAGTTTGTGTTGTGCATGATGTATTCTGGCCTGAATTTCCGGTTTCTAGCTTTCAGAGTGCGCCCAGTAGACTAGAGCTGGGCCGAAACCATGATTTACGTAGGCCTATCGGCTCTGTAATCGCACCATTTGGAATTAAAAATTTCGTTAAAATTAAAGCTTTGATGTTGTTTTGCCTAGAATTGCAGAAATTGCGATAATTGCAGAACATTGCGTCTTTTTTGCGGAAATCGACGAAAAACGCGCCCGCAAAACCGCGATTTCCGGGGAGGCCAGATACAACGAGATCTGGTTTGATGAGCATGCAATATGGCTCTTTTGGAAAAGATTGTCAATAAATGGGATAAATGAGTCGCTCACAATACAGCACCAGTCTGAAGTTAGGCTAATTACAATCCCCAAAACTATGCGTGCCATTTTTGTACACTGACCTTGACTAAAGTAAAAGAGAATACTGTGCTAGCCTGTGGGGGGAAAAATGATTGAAAAGCAAATAAAATGAGTTCATGTCTTTGGAAAGAAAGTTGACTACTGTATCTTATCACTACTTATCACCTCTATGAGAATGGGTTTTGCCGGAAGTAAAATTGAGCTGTATGTCTCTACAGCGGGGAAGTGCAAGGCGCTCCAATTTGGCAGGCCCAGGTGCTGGAAAACCATTCAATGCCTCATCTGCCATGGATCAGATGCCGGATGATTTTGCAGCACTCAACCTAGCTGTTGGACCGTTGCATAATAAGGTATTACAGTGTGAGCATGAGATGGACGTTGGTGTGCACAATTCTGAAATGAGGAAAGTAGAGAGAAACAAAGGGGTACAGTGTTAGTTCAGCAGTTAGTATCATGCTGAGCTGTTATGAGGATGGCCGAGGTTCAAATCCATGACTGGGCTTTCTTGAGCTTGGCTTTTTGGAGGTTTTCACTGTTCTCTATTAACTGTATAGGGGCTTTGCATGCATGCCAAGAATAAAGTGTTAATGGGTCAATATTGATGAGGAAACATAAACTGGTTTTTAGCCATTATGGCTTTTTTGCAATGCTTATCAGTGCTTTATAATATGTTCAAAGAGTCGTGTGTTTGACATTTGAGGTGTCATCAGTTCTGACTTGGTCTAAAAGAAGAAATCGAAACTCTTTTGGCCAAATTTTTTCATTTTCAAGATGGTTGAGTACTCTATTTGAGACTAATAAAAAATGTAGACAGGATTTTTAAATCTGTTGAAAGTAGGAATGGAGACATGAATCCGAAATGTGAAAATGTTATTGTTTGGTGTATAGTTTTGTCAGGCAGCAACAATGCCTGAAGAAGGCTGCTCATGAACATAATAATGATAGTATGAAGCATACTATGACTTTCAAATGAGGCATATGTTTTTAAAGGTTGTGTTGTAATTTGTCTAATCAAATTTTATTGGAATTATTTTTAAAAGCTTCATCTCAGTAGACAGTTTTTGTTTTTAAGTTGATCAAATCTTGGCATTGTTTCTACTTTAAAATAACATACTGCACATGGTGCAGCTTCTCCTTGCCACTGATAACCCTTTTTTTTTTAAAAGTGTGAACTGCAGCATGTTACAGGTCTGGAAGAGTTGGAGAAGCTTACTTTGATTTCCTATACTTATCTTTGACACCGTTCTCTCTCCCCCCCCACCCCCCACCCCCCTTGAAATTGCAGCAGGGCTCAGGAAATGCAGGAGAATTTGAACCCAAATCTCCCGGACTTCCTCACAGCTCAAGCACTTCTTCATTCGCATCATATGCCTCCATGTTTGGCCAGACGCCTATAACGACCAGCGTGGGTCCTCAGATTCCATCCTCTGTCTTTGGTGGTGGTCAAGGTCAGGCCGTCTCGTCAGCCACTTCAGCCAACTCAAGTTCCCTGTTTGGACCTCCTGGAGCACCCTCTAATGGCCGGGCCCCAACTGGCGGAACCTCAATTTCGGCTCCCGTTTTTGGACCAGCTTCGCAACAACAGAGTGCTGCCGTCAGCTCTTCAAATCCAGCAACTCAGATGTTCGCACCGAGTCCTCAAAGTCTGGCTCCGGTGTCCTCCAACCCTGCCAGTCAGATGGTTCCCGCATCGACAAATGGTGAGTTGTGAAAGTAATTGCATAATTTTGTTTTGTGGTTTTATTACATAGCGAGAAACCATTTTAAAACAGGACCCTTGCCTCTGATATGGCATTGTTCCTTGTTTGGTTTTGTGTATCTCTCTCTGTTCTGCTTTGCAGATCATGTGTTATGTTACAAAACAGAAGATAATCTTTGTTACTGTTTCTCGAAAGCACAAGTGTAACAAACGCTACCATTTTCTATTTGTGTTTTTCCAGGACTGGTGTTCTCCTCGTCCATTAGCCCTATCCATAGTCCTGGCATTTCACCGTCAGGCTCACCCCTGGCCGCACGTCGCATGCAGTCGCCCATCACCCCGGCTCTCCGACAAGCCACCATTCCTCACAAGTCTGCTTCTTCCAATCTGGTCCAGGTATGTTCTGTCACTCTAGCTATGGAATAATGCATTAATCACAGCATTATATTCAGATGCATTGTGGGATCGAAGATGTTGGAGAAAGAAATTAGCCTTGATTGTGCAAATGAAAATTTGTCAAGAGAACTAACTGTAGACTGTAGTCTTGTGGGTTGCAAGGTGATGTTTTAAGGTACTATGTGAACAAATTTTAGAGCATTTGAATAATTTTGGTCAAAAGGTCACCTATGATTTTTATTACGATTTTCAGGAGAGTGTTGGAGGGACAACATACTTCTACAACGCAGAAGAGTTTAAACCACAGAATGAAGGTCCCAGCTTGGTAAGTTGCATGAGGAGAAAAGTATTTGTGGTCTGTGTCTTAAATACAAACTTTATTCTAGCTGGTTAACACATTTCTTGCACACAGTGCAAAACCTTTGTCCCCATGTACCAGGTAGCGGATGGGATACATCTATTCTATACCTGTATCTCTGCAAAAACACCCTGATCTCTAGGAAATTTTCAGCACATTGGGAAAATTGAACGCGACGATTGCATCTTCTTCAAAATGGCAATGAGAATCTGAACTGTTAGATCTAGCATATTCATCACCGGAATTCTCGTCATGGTGGCACTAAAGCAGCACTCAGGATAGATCTAGTCGTCATTTTTCAAAGATTTGCCACACAAACCATTCAGTAAGAAACTTGTAACAAGTGTGGATGTCAAAAAGGAGATCATTGCTACATTTTTGTTGCTATATTACACTGGCGTCGATCGGTGTCCAGTGGGGAAAAGAGACAGTTTCTTACCGTAACAGCTTGGTGTCCCGTGGGTGCCAAGTGTTATCCTTGTACAGGCTACAATGATCTGGTGTCAGCGGGTGCGTTTGTTGAAAATTATGTGGGTGGTTGGCGGGTGTCGTAGTGTGGTTTGCTACTTCTTACCTATCAAACATCTCTCATCCATACACTTTTTGTATGTTACTCTCTTGTTGTACCTCTTATCTTTGGAACTTTAATGATCTGTTTGTATTGCAAATTCTATATAAGGGCCTTACTGAAGAGATTGAAAATAAATTGAACTGGTGACTGATTTTATTATTTTATTTTTAAAAAAGTCTACTTTTATACAGCTTGTGCCCTTTTTATCAAGGATTCAGGGTAACTCTTGGCATATTGCTGCAGAGTATAAAGTTTAGGTACATGTAATAGATTGACTTCGATTGTCTATTACAAGCACAAAGCTCATTGAATACAATACATGGAGGCAGCCATCAAGGGTACACCAGAACTGAACTTTATTCCGAAGAGTTACAACAGATCAGTGGCCAAAGGGGACACAATCATGATAATTAATAGGTTACTACCTAGAAGATTTATGTCACTCTATTCAGTACCATTATTTTATTATTACACAGATTGATTGTTACTTTATTACAGTACATTTTTAGATTAATTGGTAAATGAACATTTTGGACTGACTCCCCCCCCCCAAAAAAAAAGGATAATTTTGCTATTGCTTTTCTTCTCACATAATTTTTTTTGTCTTTTCGCTGACAGATATATGAAAAGCAATTGCAAACCTGCCTAACTTTAAAAACAAATATAAACTCTTTCTTTAGTTGTTTTTAAAGTTAGGCAGGTTTCTTTTCTCCAGGAGAGCAAGTGAGTATGAGTGCTCACTCCTTTGTTGGCCCCTTACAGTCATTTTGTTATTTGTTACATGAATACTTATTTTGCTTGTTCACTTTGTGAATTTCTGATTTGTCTTTCCTTCAGACTCTGCCAGCTTTTTGTGCGTACTCTGGGATGCCCTCGCATGTCATTCACTTACGAATGAAGACAGCACTCCCCCAGTATTTTGCTCCAGATGAGCTCAAAATGGTACGTAGTGTGACTCATTTTCCTTTCTGATGAGTTTGTAATAAATCAAGAAATGTTCTAGTCATTACAATGCACACACTCTCACACGACACACACACGTATGCACACGCACACACACACTCACACCTTTTAAAACAAGTATGTTAAGACTGAGACATCATAATGGCTCTCCTCATATTTAGGAATTTCAAGACTTGCTGATAAATTTGCATTTGTACAGTTATTTTCATGTGAAACACTTTTCTCTTCCCACATTTCTCAGGATGCATTGAATCGCCATGTCCTTTCAATGGTGCAAGTTGACCCTTCTTCTCCCAGTGCAGGTAACACTTTTTTAAATATTACAGTTAATATTTCCTGATGTCCTGGTACAAGTTAATGTCTCTGTGTAATTTGAAAAACAACATTGTTTATCTATTCCTCATGTGGAGTTCCTTTGCCCCCCCCCAAAAAAAAAACCCCACCCAAAAAACCCCAACAACAAACAAGCACAACAAACAAACCAAGCCTGAGGGGTTTAAATCAGGGTCATCCACCTCATATTCAAGAATGATACCAAGTTTACTGTGCACCCACACCTGCCTTGTTGGCACTGTTAAAGGAATGATTCAGAAGTGCTGAAGAGCTTCTGTAGAACCTTCAATTGTTTTTTTGTCAGAAATTCAGCTGTTTCTTCCTCTTTCTAGAGAATTCTTAAAACTAGAATTAAAAGATTAAGCTGCAAGTCATTTTGTTGGAATGAAAGTGGGTTTTAGTTAAATGCTTCTGTTAAGGATTTGAAGACCAGAGAGATATTTGAACACATCTTTGTTTCTCTGAAATTTAGCTGATTTGCCGTCGGAAGTGGACAACTACCAGAACTTGTGTCCATTGGAGCGACCTGGGCCTCCCAGGCCGTCCATGGGAAACCTCCCCTCCACCACATACAAAGCTGTCAGCACTAAAGATGGTGTTCACTATTGCCTTAGGAGAATTCACGGTACGTGTGTACGTGTAGTGTAAGGTGTGTGTGTGTGGGTGATAGATGAGAGCAAGTACCACCAACTTAAATTGTTTTGTGTGTGTGGTCAGCTGTTCAGAAGGAATTACTGTCTTCAGTTTCAGTGGTTCTGTGTTGCTTTTCCCAGCATAGACTAGGTCACCATAATGTGGACTCCTTTATTTTTGCTCTTAAGTGTGTGTGTGTGTACATAGTCTGTTTTTTTGTGAGTCTCTATGTTGTCCTCATAAGTCAAAAACTCTCAAAATAGCTGTGTCTGTATTGACTTCAGTTATTTAGTGTTAATGATATATTTGTACTTTCATTTAGTCTCTATCTTTGCATCTTTTTTACTTTTTATTTTTGAGTGGATTAATATTGTTTGTAATATAAATCGTGTTATGTGTTTAGCTGTATGACCAATGCGGGGATGTTTTGATGTTTACTTTGTGGGTGGTTTGTGGGTGCTCTTTTTTGTTGCTTCTTCTTTCCTATCAAACATCTATCGTCCTTATCTCCCTTCTTTTTTATTTTGTTACTCTCTTGTAACACCTCTAATCTTCCGACGCTCATATGGCCTTATGCAGTTGCAAACGTCGTAAAACTTCTACTAAAACTAAAACTGATGTTTACTTTCCTCTTTCTTTTTCCTAGGTTTTCGCTTGGCCAACACAAAGGTGAATGCCATCATGGAAAGTTGGAAGAAGTTGTACCACCCCAATGTTGTCACGCTCAAGGAAGTCTTCACAACAAAGGCTTTCAATGACAATTGTAAGTGATGATGGAGCTTGCGGTTTGTCTGTTTTCCTGCTTGGAAATAACCCCACTGTATTGAAAGAGAAGTTTTGCATTTGATATTTGGACGTCTTGTTAAAAGGGCATTTTTAAAAAGATTCTATCGATTAGATGCAAAAAAAAAAAAAGCTTTAAAAAGACCCAACAAACTTTGAGGACACATGAATCGTGTCATTTTTGTCTGTTAATAATAAAAGTCAAAACAACTTACTTTGTACTTTCCTTCCATTGGTTCTTTCTGTCTGGCTCGCTTCTTCCCCATACTACTAACTTTTGTTGTTGTTGTGTCTGTGCGCCTCCCCTTTTTCAGACATTACGAGACCCCAGGATTTCAAATGAGTTTTCTTCTTTTCTTTTTCTCCAGCCATAGTTTTTGTGTATGACTACCACCCTGGTGCAGAGACCCTGATGTCTCATCACTTTGCGTCCCACTCCCACATGAACGGATACAACCACCACCATCACCACCACCATCACCATCATCATCACCATTTCTCCAGGGATCATGGCAAGAGTAAGTTCCACAGAATCTGTCTTAATGCCTTAGTAATTAGCTGCATGTTTTATTGATAGATTGCTCAGACAGGCATTTGAAGTTCGTTTCTATTGGTTTTATTTTGTTGTTGTTTTTAAAAATTAACTTTCACCCCCCCCCCCCCTTTCATAGCACCACTGTTTGACCTATTTATAACAGAAACGTTTTAACTTCTTCCTTGGACCCGACTCAGAAGGAAGAGCACAAACGGAACATATAAGTTCAGATCAGTTTGCAATTAAAACTGAGAAAACTTTTGCGAATTATCTTTGATTTTTTTAGTAGTGGAATTTAAATTCAAATTTAATTCATTGTGAAGATATTTTGTAAGTGAAAGTGAACAAAATAGGATTTTTTTTTTTGAATTGTAGTTCTTGTGTGTAGATTGTTTATAGCTGGTGCTGAATAGGAGATTCGAGAATGTTTTTGTTAGTGATACTGTCACGGCGGCCTGGGAGAGTTTTAGTAATTGAGCTTATTGGTCCTATTCTTGTTGTGCAGATAGCAGCAGCCCTCGCAACATGAACAACAACTTGCTCCCTGAGAGTCTGATCTGGACCTACATTGTGCAGCTGAGCTCTGCACTAAGAGCCATCCACGCTGCCGGACTGGCTGCCCGGTCTCTAGAGCCTTCCAGAATCATCCTCAGTGGGAAAGCAAGGTGAGTTAAAAGCTAATGGACTCATTAATAATTATAATAATAATGGGGGTCTGTTGGAGTGATTAACTTTCAAAGTAATTTTATAATTGTCCAATGTTTCTAGTTACGAGCAACGGGAAGTTAACAGCCCATTTCCATTTTTAGTCACTTAAGACCATTTTTTAAAGTATATAATGTTGAATTGACTCAGTGTGACTTTTTTTTTTCAGAATACGCATCAATTGTGTTGGGATTTTGGACATCATCACTCCTGAAAATAGTGGATCTACTTCGAACGTAGCAGCATTCAAGGTTTGTGCATACTGCAAGTTTCAAATAGAATGTGGGCCTGGTTAAGCCTAAATATGCTTCTCCCAAAAGACTGAAATGTGACACTTTGAATGTATTTCACAAAATAATGTATCATGCTGTGGGTGCTTTTCCATTATCTCTCAATTTGCTTCGTCTTATATAAATATCTCATCTTTCCTTCTTTTCTTGGAATGTTACACTCTTGTACATGGGTCTCAATATTCCGCTATTTAGCGGATTTCCGCTACCGCCATTTCCTCCGCCTAACTCTGCTACCGCGACAGCGGGTCAATCAGAAAGAGAGTTGCTGGGAGCAGAGTGACTGTCAGGCCTCGGGAATAACCCAGGAATTTGAGAAAAATACATAAAAGATCTCGAATATTATTTGAAAATCAAATCCGATAACGTCTTTAAGTTCATTTTTGCCGGTCGCGATTGTGATATTAATTCGGTTTTTCCCGGTCTGAGAGTACGTTTCACGCGAACAGGCGGCTATGGCAGCAAGCGGAATTGTATGTGACACCGAGGCTCGACCGGAAAATCAAGATCTCAGAAATTTGTCTTGCAAAAATCTGAATAAGGAACATTTGTAACATGCAGGTTCTTCATTACAGACGTGGTGTCGCCATGAAAAGAATGTTTGTCACTGTGCTGTCGCTTGTGGGGTCCAAAAAAAAAAGAAAAGTTATACAAGCGTCTTGTCGGGCTCGTCATTGTGACAGGTCAATGAACCTGCGCGCGTTCTGAGCGCTGTGAAGTACAGGACTCCGGAATGGGGGGAGGGTATTGATTTTTTTTTTTTAAACTGTCGGGGATGGGGGGAGGGCTGGACGCAACACCAGAGGACAAAAAAAGAAAGAAATTGGAAGCAAATTTTAATATTTAGAATTTTGATTACTACTACAGCTCTCTGCAAAGTAAAGTGCGCGTTAGTTAACCTTGTGTATAATTGGGATCCGTCATAACTATTTGTAAGCGTGTTAATGAACTTAGGGCAGGGGCCTAAGTGTTTGCGTTTCATTGGATGGGTGACAGTAAATTACGTCTCTATATTTTAGCTTTTTGTTCAAGATTCGCAGATTTTCAGTGTCACTGCATCTTGCCCTCCCACAGTTCTTACACCTCTCACACTGAATAGGTTTACTCGAGCTATTCAAGTTATTATTTGAGTTTGAGCATTAATTTTGTCTTTCACGTTTATTATATGCAATCATTACACCCAGACTGGTTCTTGACAGTCGATATTCTGGTTCTAGGCATTTTCCCAGGCTGAAAACAAGATTCATTTTTATAGTTTTTTATGCAGGCGAATATGATGAAGGTAAAATATAAATAAGTCGCACAAGACCACAGTGCGCCACCACTTTCTGTACGTAATTAAGATTGTAAATATTTGGTAAGTGACTCTTACTTGAAGTTATCTTCCAAACCCTCAAACTGGTGTGAAATAACCTTGCTTTGATAAATTGATGTTTTTTATTTCAACATTCTAGGGTCCAACAGTATAATAATAGTGGGTGTCTTGCGAAAATGGGCTTCTGTCGGGATCACGCGGAAAGTTCCTCCTTTTAAAAAATTCTGAGTTGAGACCCATGCATGTAGCACCTCTAATATCGGTACTCAAATGATCTATTTGTGTTGCAAGTGCTGTTGAACTCTCACTGTGGGTGGTTGGCAGTTGCTCTGGTATGGTTTACTTCTTTTTTCCAACCAAATATCTATCGTCCTTATTTCCCTCCTCCTATTCTTCTTATGTTAATCTTTAGTAATACTTGTAATCTTCGGCACTTATATGACTTATTTGTGTTGCAAATGCGTTTAAACTTTTACTAAAACTAAACCTAAAACTCTTGCTAAAACAAAACAGTTGTTCCTGGAGCTCACGGATCGGGGTCAGTAAAATAATATCCTATAATGCTAACCCAGAACAAGTTAAGTCTTTGTCTGACCTTTTCTGTTCCTCTGTCCTGCAGCAAGATGATCTGACTGCCCTGGGGAGAATCATCCTGGCCCTGGCCTGCAACAACTTGATGTCTGTTCAGAGAGACAACATTCAGTCTGCCATTGACATTGTGCAGAGGAACTACTCTCCGGATCTGAAGAATCTGATCTGGTAGGTTTCTAATGAATCTTTGTTGAAGGCTTGTAAGGGTGCACCTTAAGTCAGTTACTGGACAGTGGAGAGGACTCTGGTGCGAATTCCTAAAATGGGCATTCTTGAACTTGAGGTGTTTTCATTGCTCTCCACCATCTTAGCCTAGCCCTGTTAGAGATGGGCGTTTAAATGGAAGTCCCATCTCCTAAATATACTTGTCGTATAGCAGAAGGGCGGCAGCAAGACAGTTCTTTACACAGTTAACATGCAAGTGAGAAGGCCACAGGCTGCTAATGGGGTGAGAGTTCATGGTTATTCAGATATAAATATTCTCGAAGAAGCAAAAAGATTTTTATATATTTACATAACGTATAACTAGTTCTAGCAAGTAGTAGTGGAGACAATGTGGCCGTCTACAATAGTTCAAACGTGTAAAACCGGAAGTCAGTAGGTAGGTTCACATTGAAAAGTAGTGAAAAAGTTAAATACCAATTATGCTAGAAAGCTTTCCAGGTTGTCCATGCTGCAAAGATGTTGTGTATATCTGAATAATAAGGGTGTCAAAATACATCAGGGCAAATGAATTTCCTTGACAGGTTGTTTTGGAAACTAGGTTTTGATTTGATGATTGGCTAATTGTTTTGTCCCTTGTCGACCCTCTTACCGAGGTTCATAATACGAACAGTGTCGGCTTGAGGATGTTGATCTTTTGTCTCATCAGTGAGTTGATATTAGGAAAATTAATGCCTTACTTTGAATGAAGTGTACATGATGATTGATCGATTGATTGTTCAAAGAAAGGAAGTAAAAAAAGAAACAACTCAAATTTGACGAGGATCATCTCAAATACAGTATAACGCGGATTACTCGATTTCTTCGGGACTGGTCTCGGTAGTTTAAGGGATACATGAACAGTGTTATGGCATAGGCTGTGTCAGAGAATCAAAGGAAGCGAGAAAGATTGGGTTGGAACAGAGATTTTTCTTTTTTCAGCCTTTGTCCTAGGTCAGATAGGTTAGATCTATGCCTATTGACTTGAATTTGAAGTGTTGAGAGACCTAGGACCTAGGCGTGCGCAGAGGGCACACATGTCGAGCAGCGGGCTAAAAATAGCACAGCTAGCTGCTTCTGTAGGGGTAGGGGGTATTTTACCGACCTTGCCTTTTTGAAAGTTTTTATTATTATTTTCATTATGATTTCGTCTCAAGTGCACCTCAAAGGACATTGACTTTAGACCTCTACGCCGGCGTAATTAGTTAGACTATTCCGTGTTTGTGTTCGAGCTTCGCGTAATTTTCTTACAAAGGAAAAGAAGGGAAAAAATACCGGGACCGCAGGCACAGTTTGATGGATGCGTGATTTCGAGTAATCTGTGTTCGATACTGTATCACCTTTCTTTATAAATCGAACAAATGTTTTTAAAAAATTAATAGAAAGTTCAGTGAAACTGTTCTTTTATGAGATTTAAAGCCCTGTATAAACAGGCATCTTTCATGAGCTGATCCTCTGCCAAATAAACACCAAACATAAAATGGGAACAGAGAGAAATGTTTCTGGCTGCGCTTTTTTTCAGCTTATTTATTTTTTGTCATTACAGCTATCTCCTGCAGAACCCCAATCGCATTCGCAACATCAACGATGTGATGCCTATGATCGGAGCTAGGTTCTTCACACAACTGGACACTGCTCAGCTACGCAGCGATGTCGTGGAGCATGAGCTTGCCAAGGTAGAATGCTTCTGATGATTGCAACGTAAATTCTTTTGGTCCACAAGATCTGTTGGTTCTAATGGTGGTTTAACTTTTGAACATTTTAATGTATTAAAGTTAAGCTGGGTTGTTAGTCTTGCCTCTGCTTCTGGTGATTTTTACTTGAATTTTATTGGTTCACGGGGCTTATTGATTCTAATGTTGGTTTAATTTCTGAACATTTTATTTTATTATAGTCAGACTGGATTGTTAGCCTGCCTCTTTTCCTGGTGGAGACCTTGTTCATCTCGATGAATTATTTTATGAGATTTCGTTTTGTTCCAGTAGCATTTGAAGAACGAATATATAGTCACGTTTTATGCCTGATTACTTCCCATCCCACATGATAGGGAAACTGCTGGCTTTTGAGTAAGGGTTGATTAGTCAAGCTATTTTTAATTTTTGTGTGTGTGAGACTACTGTCTTTGATGCTTCATTTACTGCTCTTTGTTTTGTATTTGTGCACTGGAGGGATAAATTCTCCATTGGAAACTAATTTCGTCATTTGTGGTCTTGATTTTTCAGGAGATTGAGAATGGCAGGCTCTTCCGCATCATGGTGAAGCTAGGCTCCATCAACGAGAGACCTGAGTAAGTTTAAAGTGTCAGTGAATTAAATGACTCCTAATGACAAGCACTGATGGCTAGGATGATGTTTCTGCGTTTATTATGCACTATTACTATTATTAAATCGATATGCCTAGTAATGAAAAAGGAAAGCATATCTTGATTTTTCCTATCAAGACTGCTGAGCCTTGATGTTACGCCTAAAATTCCATCTTACCCACATGTTTGTGTGAGCATAAAAGAGTTAAACACAAAGACCCGTTGGCTAGTAGGTACACGCAAATGAACGAGCCTACTTTATTTCCCTTTTTTTAAATTTTAAGATTTAAAATCTTGATCTTATCATAGATTTGATAGTTTAGGTACCTTTACGTATGCGAGGCATTGTGATGGAATCAGGCGCTCGTCAAAATAAAAAAATCGAAGAAAACAGCATTTTTATGCCGATTTGGTAATAATTTTCGAATTTTTGTTTTATGGCTCAACACCTTTTATGTCTTTTTAAAAGCAGTTTTGTGTGGATTTTACTGAAACATTGATTAAAGGACCAAAAATGTAAATTTTCATTTCCCAAAGACTCTCAAGCTATGGAAATTACCAAACTTTGGCGGCTATTTTCTCGATAATTTTACATCTAAAATCAGGCGACCCTTTCTTCTTCAATCTCAAATAACTTTAGTTCAGTTCAAGATAGTTGAGGATTTTTTTTCACTAAATGCAAGAAAAATAAACAAGCCTTAAAGATGATATTACTAACTTTTAAGGGCTGGTGGGGCACCTAGAAATCGTGTTTGGAGGTCAAATTTTGTAAATTGGGTTTATTACATATTATAGTACCTGGACACTTCCTGAACAATATCCAGAAACGTATGTAAGCCTTGCTACACCCTAAAGCTGTGTTTTTTTGTCAGGTTTGTCGGCGAAAGCACATGTTGTCTAGCCTTTTCTTACCTGTATCGGCTGTTTTCTCACAATTTTATTTTTTCACATATTATCCCATTTTTCTGCTCTGTTTTTTATTCAATTTTAATGTAACTTTCACAGGATACCAACAACACCTAGTTCTAAATTTTGGCTCTTTGAATTTTTGATTAATGTTGTAGTTTTTGATTTATGGGCTTAGAAAGCATGAATTTTCCATTTTTTTCACCTTTTTTGCAACATCTCAATTGTAAATGTCATAAAATAAAAACTAAAGCATATATCAAAAATTCAACAAGCCAAATTTAAGAGCTACCTATGTACTGTTGGCATGCCAAATTAGAAGTGAATCAGTTAATAAATAAGGAAATAAAATGGGATTGAAAAAGGTATACAAAATCCAATATGGCCGCTGTTTCCATAGCAACCGATTCACAATATACTTTTTGAACTATTGATTTAAAATCCCCAATAACACACGATGTCCCACAGCAAATATCGGCACTCTAGGCCTTGTAATAGCCAAAATAGACATCAGGTGCCCCACCAGTCCTTAATGCCAAAAAATTGACGAGCGCCTGATGCCACCACGTTGCCTCACATATTAGTATGGCAGTAAAAACAAGTCCAAAATTGGTACAGACAGGAAAAATCGGTAGAAATAGGCAGCCCAGACCATATGATTGCTCCAGGGTTTTTTTGGGGGGAGGGGGGGTTGTTTGTTTGAGTAATTATTTGACTGCATGATTATATGTGCTGTTGTTTTGTCTCACCAGGTACCACTCTGAGCCATCGTGGGCGGAGACTGGTGACAGGTTCATGCTGAAGCTCTTCCGTGACTACCTCTTCCATCAAGTGGATGAGAATGGTGCGGCTTGGGTGGACATGGCCCACATCATTCAGTGCTTGAACAAGGTATAACATGTTTGGAGGGATTGGGTTCAAGTCTTGTGCTGTTTTTAGATATAGCATTGGTTATCTGCGGGATTGTTGGGTATCACTAAATCAAGTTCTGTCCTTGATTCATTTGATTAGAGAACTATAGATTTAAAAAAGAATTTTTATTATGGGAGGGTGAGGGTTGGGGGTGAATGTCCTCATTTGTTTCCGATTTTGAGGATTGACAGTGCATGACTTTGTTATTGTTTGTCTGAGTGTGACTTCTTTACTGTTTGTGCGAGACAGATTTTGTTAATGTTGTTGTCAGTGGGCCTTGATAAAAGTTTATGTGTATGAATGAAGCTTTGTTCCAGTTTGTGTTAGTGGAATTTTTTTTTCCTGTTTGCGTGAGTGCTACTTCAATAATTGGGGGGTGTAACTTAGTTACTGTTTACATTGTGGGTGGTTGGCGGGTGCTCTGGTGTGGTTTGCTTCTTCTTTCCTATCATCATCTATCGTTTTTATCTCCCCTCCTCCTTTTTTGTGTTTGTAACTCTCTTGTAACTCCTCTAATCTTTGGCACTTATATGACCTTATTGTGTTGCGAGTGCCGTAAAACTTTTACTGAAACTACCGTTTACATTGGTGTGACTTAATTACTGCTTGGTTTAGTTTTAGTAAGAGTTTTACGGCCTTTGCAACACAATAAGTGCCGAAGAATTAAATATGTTACATGAGAGTAACATACACAGAAAAGAAGGGGAGATAAGGACGATGGATGTTTGATAGGAAAGAAGGAGCAAACCACACCAGAGCACCCGTCAACCACCCACTTAGTTACTGCTTGTACAAGCGAAATGTAATAAGTGTTTGTGCCAGTAGGATGTTTTTATTATTTGTATGTGGGTAACAGGCTGGTGCTGTGGTGGGGTTTGCTCCTTCTTTCCTGTCAAACATCTATTGTCCTTATCCTTCCTCTTTTCTTTTTTTGTGTTTGTTACTCTCCTGTAACACCTCTAATCTTTGGCACTTGTATGACCTATTTGTGTAGCAAGTTTTTTAACACTTACAGTACCGCAGGGTCATGTAGTGAAAAAACCCTTGAGTACCGCACCGATTTAGAAGCCAACAAAATAATTAGGGTACGTTACAAAAAAATTCATTGAAACAAAGGTCATTGGCAGAATTACATGAAATTTTCAAGATATATTCAGAAATAAATGCACCTAATAGAAAAACCTTTTTGCGACGTATAGACATCATGATAAAACTCCCATTCTGTTTGGAGAGGGTAGACCTGCCCACCTGAATTTCTATCACCTGTAGGCCTGGATGTACCAACAGTACCTGTTGAGAGTCCTGCATCACCACTAGATGTAACTAGGTAGCGTAAACACAGCCTCACGGGCACTCGCGGCTTTCCAAGCCCGTGGTATCGGTGAAATTGGGGCAATTGAGATCGCTCTTTCTTTGCTCTTTCACTATAAAAGACTAAATGCCGTACACTTTGTAAAAGTTCAGCTTTTCCTCATTACAATGATGTTAGCTGTTCATATGTCCGATTGTTAGGAGCTGAAAAATGGCCGAGGAAGCGAAGCCCCTCACGGTCAGAATGCGTGGTCAATATGTTCAAATATTGACATACGTGCATTCAAATGCTTCGCGGAAAGATTGATGATTAAATACCGTCTTTTCATTCGCTGAGAACTGTAGACCTTTAAATGGGCTTTCTCGTGGCATATTTTTGGCTTTTTGCGCTTAAATAAAAAGCTTTTAAAAATACCGTCAAAGTTTTCAAAGATCATATTTTGCACGAAATATGTAAAATACAGGGGGAAAAAAGGGTAGTAATAGAAATATCAGTTCATTTTCTATTAGATTATTTTGCGTCCATCCTTCCGCGAAACTCGGAAACCATGTGACCCCCCACGCGGGGAGCCCTCGGTACACTACAGTATAGAGATGGCTCACTCGCTGCGGGGGCCCAGTGGGGCGGCAGTCGGGTCAACGCTTGGTGTTTTTGTCGAATTAACGACAGATCTTCATGTTTGCAGCGCTGAAATACAGATTTGTAATGATCTTGCAGTCTTGAAAAAAATTAGGCTCCATATCTATGTTATAGTGATTGTACTCTGTTAATGTGATGTTTGGTGCACTTTGTACTCTTTTATTGCCGGTCAAACATGGGGTTGCAGCCAGTTGACGACTTAAGCAAATTTAATCAAATTTTAAACAGCTACCATTTTCTTTAAAATAGACTGAGAGGTTAATGAATGGTACCATAATGCTCAGGAGATATAGGCCTTTCATATGGAACGGATAAATTTGGCATACAGCTTTGATAATGTAGTTCCTGGTACCTAATCTAACACACTTAAGAAACATGACGAGCTGGAACTGGAACATTTATGAATCTGTCTATGTTACTGTCAGGCTCTACATCAAACAAATTGTCAAGATATGACCAACTGTTGTCACTACAATCACTAAACTCTTCGCCTGAATCAGAGGCATAGATCTAGAGATGTGGGAACGCTGAAGCCGTTGGTAGAACAGAAAATGTAAAAAAAACAAACCCAATAAAACATTCACAGCTCAAGAAATGCGCTCAAAAAAATTCGAAACACTACATCAACGATTCAGCTATCACATAGTGATTTATCTTGATATTTACTTCCGTGGAGAAGTTCCGTTTGTTGTTTAGTGTGCCTGGTCGAGTCAGTGACTAAAGTCGCCAGCGGTACTGAGCGGAAATTACGAATGGTGAAGTCGCCGAAAGTACTGTAAGTGTTAAAACGCTTACTAAAAGCAGTATTTGTGTTGGTAGACTTTGTTACACTCGTCTCGGTGGGATTTGTCAACGGGGTTAAAGTTTAAAAAATAAATCATACTCAAAAGGGGCTTTCTGATGAACAGCATAGCATAGCATAGCCTTTGATTTCTCTTTGTTCACTATGCCTTTTCTCTCGGCAGTTTGACGCAGGCGTGCCAGAGAAGCTGTGTTTGGTGTCACGGGATGAGAGCAGCATGCTGGTCGTGTCGTACTCGGAGCTGAAGCGATGTTTCCAGTCCTGCTTCCAGGAGCTGGTGGCCCAGGCCAACCAAACATCCAGCTTCTCGTAGCCAAGGCAACGAACTACACACCTCCCTGTGACTGATCTGTTTTGTTGCTGACTTTTCTGCAAGGGGCGTGGTGTGTGTGTGTGTGTATGTGTTTGTCGCAGGTGGAGAATGTTGATGGGGGGAGATTTTATTACGAAGATGAAAACTTGCCCTTTGATTTTTCTCTCTTGATTTGTTGTAACATTGGAACGTGTACTAAAATTGATTTGATGAGAGGTTCAAGTCTCCTTTATCCTCATGTGCTGTTTGATGTTTGAAATTGATACCAAAAGGATTGACGTTTCCCTTAGATATACTATGGAAATTAAAAAAGGTTTTCTGACAGTACACATCACAATTGGAGTAAGACTATATTGTGATAGTTTGATTTTCAGTATGTATTCAGAACTTTGAGCGCTATTAGTGGGATGTAGTAGCCATGAGGTCTAAACGATTAGTGACCCCTTGCTGTTGCACAAACCTGCTAGGAGGGTTTTCATATGTTACTTGTTGGAACAGAAATACTACTTAACATGTTGATGCCATATCTCTGCTTCTTTTAGCATGGAAAGGAGTGATGATTACTGTGTCAGTTAATACTTATGTTGCTGTTTGAATTATTTGAGTTGGAATTATAACTTGTCTTATTCCGTCTCCTCCAACACTTCAAAGTCTTGGTAGCATTTTTTTATGCTCTTCACTGTTTTCATACTGGTTTGGATTATCAACTGCATATCTGAAATTTGCCGCAAGTTCTGTATGAAAAGAAAAATTTTTAAGCTTGAAGAAATTTTTATACCTCTGTTGTCATCTTCGAGACATCCGGAGGTTTCGTTGAAAAGTGAATGTTTCTGTGTGAGAGATTTTGCAAGATTGGATTGGTGTTCAGATTTTATGAAATCACGATTTTATTTTCTGGGTAGGTTCTTTGTTTTTCTCAGCGATCTATTTTCAATCATCACTGGATGGATGTTATTACTGGCGTCTGTGGTATAGTGTCTGTGTGTTCCACCGTCGCATGCAGAAGACCTGATTTTGACTCCTGTGTAGGAAGAATTCTTACCCCGGTCTTTCGGCTGGGATGTTGTATCATTCTCGGCACAATTTGAACCTGATATGCAGGATCAAAGTCTACCTTCTAAGTGGTTTAAAATTGTGTGTGTTGATATGGGCGAAAATACACCTACATTTAGCCAATTTTTTTCCCCAGATGATATTGACCTCACAAGAGGTGTGTTCAGGGGTTATTTTCTTTTTTACATATTAGGGAGGAGTATGGAAGTGTCTCTGGATTTGTGCATTTAGTCATCTGTAAGGATTATGTTGTTCCATTTCGGTCCTGTTTACAGGGTAAGGTAGTCAGGAGGTACCTCTTCGTCAACACTGCCCTGTGTCTTTGGAATGTGAACTTCAGAAAATTAAGTGTTGATGATATTCAGTCTAATTTTTAAGTTTGCTTTTAGATTTGTTAACGGGAGGAGCTACCCTTGGGGACCATTTTCTATGTTTGTTGCCCGAGATCAAATCTAAGTACACATAAGTTAGACATAGTAAAATCTCTTGATACGCAATTTTAATTTGGCATAGCTACAGCAACCCTATGGAAACGGCCACCATCTTGAAAATAAACAATGAATTTCAAATCCCTAATGCTTTCTTATTTATAGACCAAATTTGGTGAGAGTATACCTGAACCAGACCCTATCAGAGTAACAGCAAGTTTTTTTCAATAAGTGCAAAAGACAAAAAAATATGAGAATTTTCCCTAGTATAAAAAACCTTTTTCTAAATTTAGGTTAAGTAATCGCTTGCCAATGGAAAAGTATTATTTTTTTTTCGCAAAGATCTCTCTGTTTACATTATGTTGCCTGAAAGTTTCATGTCAAAAGGATGAGAACTAAGGAAGGAGTAGGGAAGAAACTGCAAAAAAATTACATTTCGCGAAAACCGACTATTATTGTGAAAATTCTCTGTATTAATCCATCCTCATGTTTTTAAAGGCAATTTACCTGGAAAATAAAGTCTTTCTCTATTGTATCCATGCTATTTTTAGACAAAAAAACTGGTTGATCTTCAAAAATCAGCCAACATAAAATGTGCATAGCCTGACCCAAAATCTGCAAAAATCAAGGGTCGCTCCTCCCCTTAAGTAAAATTATCTGTAAGGAGAAGACTGATTTTTACTTGAAATTCACGGTGTTAATGAAGACATAGTGGTAAGGAAAGTGACGACAATAAAATGTCTTTAAAATGAAATGTACTTTTCCCCCTTCAGTGAAGGATAATTTTAATCGTGTGTGATAGTGCAAAGATAGATTTTACATAGTGAATGCCATTCACTGAAATGTATAACTTATAACTCTTATTTATGCCAGTACAGTTGGAATAGAAAGGGAAAATCACTGGCAAAACATTTTTAGCAAAGTATCATGAATTATCTCTCTTTGAGAAGTAGAGAAAGTGACACGTCCTATGTCTAGAATAATCTCGAGCATAATTGTGCTTTCACCGTCTTTGCAGGCCTGGAATTTTGGGGAAAATGGAAGAGGTTTTAACAAAGTTGTATGTTCTTTTCTGGTTCAGAAGGTTGACGAAAATTTTAGAAAACTATCCTACTTCAGAATGATATATTGTTACCTGTCCATCTCCCAGAGGTGTGAAAAGCAACTTTGGTATTGTGTGTGCCAAATTTCTCTTTTGATATGTGAAAGAAATTGTTCAGAGTTGGCCGAGAGTGCTCCGTACTTGAATTACTTGCAATAGCTTTTTCTTCCTCCATTTTCTTTCTTTTTCTTCATATATTATTAGCTGTCAGCTATAGACTAGACTGTTTATTTTCTTTCCTTATCTGCCTAAATTAATAGCTGTCAGCAATAGACCATTTATTTCCTCCCCTGTGCATAAAATGATATAGAACCACAGACCTTAGTTAGTTCCACCAATTGAAATTTTGTCCCCTCTTGGAGATACTGTTCTGGAGAGTGATTTATAGCCCAGGAATTGTCAGGTGAAGATCGACTGATAAGTATGACTGGGTGTGCATTGTTAAGCCTTACACAGTCAACTAAACATAAATGTGATTGAAAAATGCTGAAGTATGCGGTTCCATGCATGTTCTTGAACATCCTCTGAGCCTATTGTACAGCCTTTTGTGATTATGATCATAACATCATCTTGATTTATAATGCCGGTATAATTCTCTTGGGATTGTGTCAGATCTGGATAATGTAACTGTTTTGTTTTTGTTTGTTTTTGTTCTTGGTGACCCATTGTTGTTTTGGCCTTTAAGTGACTCAAATTCATGTAAGCAATGTCCTCTGTGACGACGACGCATTGGTTCTCAGTGCAAAATGTAAATAATGTGAATAATGACTTTTTCTCAAAATGTCAGCTTATGTTGGACTGAAATATTTTTCTTTGAGAAAAGTATCAGAATCTCTGCCAGCCTGGTTGCAGTGCTGGGAACAGAAGTGTGCTGTTGAATGAATGTGTTTTGTTTTTATTGCTGCGTTAAGTGAGTCATAGGTACGGATACAATTTTGTGTTCAGCTGAATGATTGCTGTTACCTGAGCAACCTGTTGATTGCTCTGTGAATGTGCGTCTGTTATGAATAAAGGTTAACTCATCGCTCACAATCATGACTCTGTTAGGTTTTTCATTTTCATGTTTTATTGACTTTTAGCAGTGAGGTGGATTGGTATACTCTCCTATCACCGCTGTGGTAAAGTTAAAATAGTGTTGCTATACGTTAATGAAAAGTTATGGTGTGGTCTATTGTATGGACTTCATGTTGAAGGCTGATTTAGCACAACAATCCTTTTGGTTTATGGTCTGTAAAAAGCAGTAGTACGGGATTAGACCTCCTGTTCAGTCAGAGCTTCTGCAGTCATCTGCAGGAATATAAGTGCTCAAGTTCTTGTCGGTGCTGGATTAAACAGTCATGTACGTTAAGCTCAGTTAGAACCTCGGACAAATGCCGTCAGTATCCAGCATTCCCTTTACTGCAGGGGAAAAGAGAGGATGTGCAATAGTCTCTAAATGGCAGGGAGTGCCTTGGGAAACTCAAAAAGGTAGATGTTTACACGGAAGCGGGGAACTTTGTATTCAAAGTAATGCAAGAGGATTTTGAAAATAGTTTTAGCTAAGTAAGTTAACATTTTATCGATATTGTTATGCAGTGGTTAAGTCTTTTGCCTATTGTGTGCCAATATTTTAGCTTCTGTTACTGGCTTGAATGGAAAGAGTGCTGGCGTTACAGCTTTGCTCAGTGTGGCATTTATTTTGATTCTTTTCTACATTAAATGCTACATTTTTATTCCACATTTGTAAGCTTTCACACTGCCAGAACATTTGGTAGCAGAAATTTGAAAGACCTGCAAGTGTTTGATGCCTGTAAAGTTTTTATTTTAAATAAGTCGGTGTGTGTCAGTGCTGTGTCGTTAGGACTATTAACTTTAACATGTGTATATAGGTAACACTTCTAAAAGTAGATCTGTTGGGACTAATCCAACTGTTGCCACATAATTTATGGGTATTCTTTGGCCCTTTTCCCCCCCCCCCTCCCAGAATATTAGGATATAAAATTATGTATTTTTTAAGCCACTAGGAAATGTTGAAATTGTTTTTCATGATTTTCTTTTTAAGCCTCTGTTTTAAAATGAATGTTGAATAACTCTTTCTTCCTGTTACATTTGTGTTTGTACACATTGTTATTGTCCTTTATTTTTCTTTCCCTTAATGCCAAAATCTAGGTTTTATCTCGATTTGCTTTTAAGTTATATGTGTGGCAGCGTGGTGAAATCAGGCGCTCATCAAAATACAGAAATAGGAGAAACAGGCATTTCTTTGAAAGTTTGGACATTTTTATAGAATTTTTATTTTTAGGCTCAACCTCTTTTATATTTTATGTCCAAGTAAAAACACATATGCGTGTGAATTTTACTGAAAAACATTAATTAAAAGGCACAAATTCTGTCATTTTTCTGTTTTCAAAGACTCTTTAGCTATTGGAGCTACCAAAGTTTGGCTGCCATTTTCTCGCTAATTTCACCAATGGAACCAGGCGACGTCACTTCCTTCAATCGCAAATATCTTTGTTCTATTCAAGATAGATGAATATTTATTTCAATCAAAGCAAGGCAAATAAATCTGCTTTGTGATGGTACCTATAACTCCACAGGCACAGAAATTAACGAGAGCCTGATTCCACCGCGTCGTGACACATATTGTTTTGTTGCTACTGTTTTTTATGCCCCAGAAATTAACTCATTGGGAAAAATGGGTTATGTCAGTTGATGTAACTATTCCAAGATAATGCACTGAGTCAATTGGTGGAATACAAAACAAAACTCTGGAAATTAATAGCTGTACAATACCATGTATAGTGAATATATGAAATGAGAAAGAAGGCGGGTGCTCTGGTGTGGTTTGCTTCTTCTCACCTATCCAACGTTTATCGTCCTAATCGCTCCTCCTTCTTTTTTGCGTTTGTTCCTCTCCTGTAACACCTCTAATTGGTCACTTTTAAGGACAAGCGAGCTAACCCAGATTTCGAGAGTTTCCAGAAATCTTGACCTACTCCAAAAGTGGGCATTGCCTTACCTATAGGAGAAGTTTGGTTTAATTGGTGTGTATATTTTTTGGTTATAGAGAAAACTCTCCTTGTGTTACAAAGAAATTGAACAAGGGGCAAAAACTTTTCCTTCGATTTTCTCAAGACAGCATTTTTCAGGAAAGCCCCCTTGTGCTTAAAAAGTGACCAATTACTGGCGCCTCTTACTGAAACCAATATGAAAATGCTGCGGAGCCCAACTCTACATCACATGTTTGCCTTTTAACTTAGCCTGTTTGAAGAGGTTTCAGTTGAAATAGTTATGGCTGAGTTTGTGACGCTGCCATTGATTCCTCTGAATTACCATAGTGAATCCAGGCACAATATTCTACCCTGTGTGGTATTTGTAGTCACGTGTGAGTCAACCCAGTCCAAATTTGTAGAGGATGAGTTATCAAAGGAAATAGTGATATATGTGCATGCAGTCTCAAATATCCCACATTCCCATTTGTCTTTTATAAATTTAAAGTTGATACATTTTTACTGTATGAAAAATATCTTGGTTTTGTTTACCCACCTCACCCCATCTCAGAAGATCCATTGTCATTGATTTATTTGGGTGATTGGCAGATTCTCTGGTGTGGATTGCTCCTTCTCTTCTATCAGATGTCTGTTGCCTTTGACTTTCCTCCTTCCTTTTTGTGTTTGTTGCTCTTTTGTAACACCTCTAAACTTTGGCACTTGTATGACCTAATTGTGTTTCAAGTGCCGTAAATCTCTTAGCAAAAAATCATGTCTGGTTGGGCCTTGCTTAGCCCTTTCACTGCCTGGTTCAGGACCACTTTGGATTATTAAGTGGACTTGGGGGGGGGGGGGTGCAAAGGTTATAACCGGGCAATTCTGGCATGCTTCTTAATTCGTATTTGTTGGAAATACAGTAGTCTTTGCCTAAGATCTCACTGGTTATGATCCTGGTTCGCTTGACTCTTTATCTGCGGCAAGCCGCTTCCAGTAGCTCGCGGATGGAACCGCCGTGCCGGTGGGCTGCTGGCCGTGGCTCGGGCACATTCCTTTACGACTTCGAAATCAAATTATTTTTCGGCAATTGCCGAAACAGGTCTCTTTTACCGGAAGTTCATTCATTAGATGAAGAACTTTCGAAATAGGTTTGCTAGTTTGGATTTAATGACGCTTTTGTCTTTTTTAGATTTAGCACCAAAAAAGGACCCCGGCGTAGTGGGTTTACCCCCCTCGGAGATAAAGAGTTAAGATCCCGCTGTTTTAAGAAAACATATAATTTTTATTACACAAAAGTCGCCCCTAAGATCCCGCTGAAAAGGGGTATATTCGACTAAGATGCTGCATTTTAGATCATACTGTACTGAACAAAAACCTGGGCGGGCACAGCAGATCAACCAAGAGTGAAAATCTGAGATCATTGAACTGCCGGTTCAGTTACAGATCAGCCACTCTCATGAATGTGATCACGTCTCCGTTGTAAATCTTGATGAAATGATACAATGTTTGCCCAAAAGGTGTGAACTTGTCAAAGCATTTTTCCCCCTCAAATGTTGCTCTCGCATCTGAGCTGTCCACTTAAACTTATATATCACACGCCAGGAGGGTAGGGCCTATCTGAATTTTTTTTGTTGGTGTGGTCACAATGTAATGGTGCGTAACAACAAAGGTGGGTGGGAGGGGGGGGGGAACTCGGTTAGAGCTGGAAAGCGATAAATTTTGGACATGTAAAAGGGAGGAGCAATTGGATAAGCATAGATCCTGAGACTCACGATAGGATAGTAAGTGAAAATGGCATGCCTCATGCCCCTGTAATTGGTCATAAAGGTTGACCACTCTTTGCTCACCATAAGTCAAAAATCTATCCTGGGGTCACGTCAGTTTGTTCAAGAGTAATAAGGGGAGACCATTTTACTGGTAGTGGGCCTGAACATGGGTCACTGTGGATTCTTCCCTTGGTGCGTCGGCTAAGATCCCTTGCACCTAAGATCCCCCATTTTCCTCGCTCCTGTGCAGCGGGTTGTTAGCCGGAGACTACTGTAGTAGGAAAAAGAGAGTTGGTATGGTAGACAAAAGTGTCTGCTTGAGGGTACTTTGTTCTGATGGTAGTGTGTTGCTTCAGGTCTGGACCGGTAGGCTGCTCTTTATTGTTAAATTGTATAGAATCATATTGTCATATACATTTTTTGCATGTTTGTTCCGAGACTCCAGGTTTTTACATGTTGTAGCTACACAAGGCTTATCATGGGTCATTGATGGTATTTGCCTTGAAAATTATGTTTGTGCCTATGTTTGATGAATAGGTACTGAGAGGGCATTCATTACTGTTGGTGTCAACTGTTTCTCTTTTGAAGTTTCTGTGGATGCCTGTGATTGTTTTTGTAGTAATGTTAGAGATTTTCTCATTCAAAAGTTTACTCAGAATGAAGGCCATAAGCCCATATACCAAAATTTCATATATATGGAAAACAGAGTTTTTGAGGAGATTGTTATTGATATGATTTTCATATACTGTTTTATAGCCCCTGCAGTTCATAGCATTTCTCTTTGAACCTTCTGACAATTGTCCTGTGAAACTGGCAGAAACAATGATTTCTCAAGCCCTGTTACTTTGTCTGATGTTTGTCTAAAGGTATCTTACTTTTAAGATAAATGATTTGGATTGTGATAGATCACTGCATTTTTTTCTGATTTTTTTTTTCTCTGTTAACCTTCCTTCCTTCTTATTTCCTGACATTCCTTTTTTGCTGTTGTTGTTCTAAAGGTTAGAGTGGCTTTGGTGGAAGGGCCTCCTTTTTCTCTTTCTTTTTTTTGTTGTGTGCATTGTCTGTCATTTTACTTCTTTTTTTTTGGTGCTCTGCAAGACTTTCCAAATATTGACATGCTTCTTGTTATTCAGATAGTCACAAAACACACATTGTGATAAAGAACTGAAGGTGTAGTAGATGAACATGACTTTCATTTGTGGTCTCTGCATGCATAATTTGGTGAGTGCTTTGCCTTCCGAATAACTCTTTGTGGGTGGTTGGTGGGTGTTCTGGTGTGGTCTGCTCCTTCTTTCCTATC